AGAGTTCATCATCTCCCATTCACAGGACACTGGGAAGTACTTCATGTCCAACACCACCTAGTCTCCAAACACAAACGCTGTGACTGATTATCTGCCTTCTGTCTGTTGCTGAAGTACTTCAAAGAAAAAAGATAATCTTTGAATTGAATACCTGAAAACATTTCTAGCCAATACAAGGAAAACGGCAGGCATCTGCAGGGCACCATGGACCTGACTTGGGAAATTCCTGATATACGGCATTCAACTTCATCCAACTCTGAATAGTAGGTTGAGATTGCACAGTCATATCTTGAATTTGTTTAATTTTTTTCCCACACTTCTTAGCTCCAAACTACACATTCTACTAATGAGCAACTTCCAGAACAAAGGACGGGATCCATACATGAAATGTACAAATAGTTATGTCAGACTGTGTTCTTGGCTGCCAGCACCACACAGGCAGCCTAAGTATTGAACCAAACAGCACCACATCAGAAGTCTACAAAAGTTTCTCCACCAGCTACTCCAGCCCAGGACATGTCTAGTGAGGATGTTTTCTCTCCATGGGCTCCTGGATAGTAGCTTTTAAATATCTGCACACCCACCTGCCTAGCATTCATAAGGCCCTGGGTCCAAGCATAACCCCACAAACACCTGTATTCCCAAGGCCTGGGATCTTACAGGTACTCAGAAATGACTAAGATACTTAGGCATGAAGCATGTGCAGCTAATGAGGACTTTATGGGTGGGGAAATGAAGTCTAGAAACTAAAAGTTGAAGCCAATTAAAGTCGCACTTAGCACTGGCTTCAAATCCTAGCACAGAAAAAAAAAGTCATCTTTGACATTGCCCAACCACAGGAGAGCCTCATCTTGTCACTCAACCACATTCCCCACAGCCACCTCTCCCCACTGAGTCTGGTGGTCAGATAAGCCCATGTCCTCTCCCCTTTCCCTGCTCATTCAGTTGTCCCCAGGTCTCACCAACCCTTCTCTTGCCCTAACGAGTCCCTCAGACTCAGAGGACACACCCACTCCTGTCCTCCACCATCTTCTGACATCCTCTAAACTCCTACAGCTCATCAGCAGTTCAGGCAGCTCCCAAAGTCCTAAAACCCCAGAACCAAAGATCCTGGCTCTCTCACCGACCAGCTAAGCAGTCACTTCACTCCTCTGAGCCTCAGTTTCCACATCTCTAAAATGGGAACAACTTAAGACAAAACAGCTGGAAGGAAAAAATGGTCCTTGTAGAATCACTTTTAGCTACTGTGTTAAACGTTTGTTTTTATTTTATGTGCATGTGTGTGTACCTGAGTGCATGTATGTGTACCACAAGCATGCAGAAGCCCACAGAGATCAGAACTGAGTGTTGGTTCCCCTGGAATTAAAGTTACAGGCAATTGTGAGCCACCATGTGGGTACTGGCATCCCATCCTGGGTCCTCTGAAAGAACAACAGATGCCCTTAACCTCTGAGCCATCTCTCCAGGCCCACAGCTGCTGTTATATTTTTTTTTAGAGATTTATCTATTTACTAATTGTATGTGTATGGGTGTCTTGCTTACACATGTCTGTGTGTCACGTGCATACTTGGTGTCCACAGTGCTAAAAGAGTCTCAGAATACTTGAGAGTGGAGTTACAGAGTTGTGAGCTGCCATGTGAGTGCCGGGAATCGAACCTGGGTCCTCTGGAAGAGCAGCCAGTGCTTTTAATTGCTGAACCATCTCTCCAGTCTTAAAGGGTTAGACTGTGGTTGCTATTTTTGCATATCATCTCCTCATCCCTAGAAGATACTCTGTTGCTGCTGATGGTGTCTTGAGATAGGGTCTCATGTAGCCCACAACAGCCTCAAACTCTCTATGTAGATGAAGCTGGCCTTGAACTCCTGATCCTCCTGGCTCCACCTCCTCCTGGGATTACTAGCATGTACCACCATTCCCAGCATATGCACTTACTTAAAAAAAATCACAGTACCCAAAATCATGTTTACTCTTTGCCACAATAGTACAGAATATCCATTAAAATTTCAATCTGTCAATTTATCATTTTTCCAAGCAAAATGACTAAGGCCTAGCTACTGACTATTGGCTGCCTAGCAACAGGGACCCTTCATCATCTTCATGGTCAAATTTATTTTTCTAAAGATCTATTTATTTATTGTGTGTATGTGTGTGTTTGCCTGTATGTATGTATATGTGCCACGTGCCTGCCACAGAGGCCAAAAAAGTGTGTCAGTTCCCCCAGAACTCCAGTTAGAGAAGGTCATGAACCGCCCTGTGGACACTGGAACTGAATGTGTTGTCTTCTGCGAGAGCAACACTGCTCTTAATAAGAACCATCAACCCAGCTCCTCAAGTGTCTTTTACAAGCAATAGCGGACCTAAGGCCTGGGAGGGTATTTTCCTTCACAGGTCATAAACCAGTCACATCACATGGCCTCCTCTGACAGAAAACACAACCCTGACTTAATTATTCTGTTGTGAACAGAAAGATGGCCCAATTCACTGAGTCTGCAATGTTCCAGATAAGATACCAATTGCTGGTAGACATCATCCTCTTCAAACGGCAGCACTCTAAACACAAGTCTCTCCCCACCCTTCCCTCCTTTTCACTCAGCAGACAGTCACTCTCGGGCTCAGAAGGCTTACACAATCTTCTGACGTTCTACAGCCAAGGTCATTCAACTCAGGTCACATCTAACACATTTACTTATTTACAGCTGTTCAACTACCCCTCTATCCCTTACTTATCCTTTTGACATGCTGCCCTTTGTACCTGCCAGCTTCCCTCCCCTAACCCTCCAAAACCCTCGAGTTCACTGGCTTGAATTCAACACCAACTGGACTGAGAAGCGAGTTTGGACTGAAGCGACAGAACACTTGAAGACAGGGGCAAAACAGGATCCCAGCACCCTCATCAGCCAGGTCACAAATGCCTGTAACTTTGCTCTAAGGGATCCAATGCCTTCCTCCACAGGCATCCACATACACACACAGGTATGTATACGCTCACACAGACACATGCACACACATACATAAATAAAAGAAAATCTTGTTGAAAAGAGAGGGGAGTCTGGAGAGATGACTCAGTGTGGTTAAGAGCAGGTGATGCTCTTCCAGGGGACCCAGGTTTTATTGCCAGCTCTCCCACGGAAGCTCACAGCTATCTGTAACTCCAGTTCCAAGAGATCCCACACCCCGTCCTGGCCTCTGTGGGCACAAGGCACACAAGTGGTGAATAGACATACATGAAGGTAAAACAAGCACATAAAATTGAAAAAAAATAGAAAGAGAGATACTCAAGTGAGCATCAGAGAACGAAGTGTTATAGAAGTGGGAAAGACTTTCAGGTCCCACTATCCATGATTATTTATAAAAGACACTGTCCCAAAAAGGAACAAAATGCCCCTAAAATGCCAGCTAACCAACAGAAGGAGCCTCGGTAAGTTCATGGGCCTCTCTAAAGACTGAAAAGTAGGCTATAAACTCATATGCAAAGCAAAAAAAAAAAAAAAAAAAGCAAATCTCTATTGCCTGAACTAGTCAGACTCATAAGGATAGTACAGATCCCTGTTCATACAAGACACTTCCAACCAACCTGCTAATATTTAATTTTTAAACATTTTTTTGTGTGAGTGTTTTGTCTGTATGTATGTATGTCTGTGCACTATTTACATGCCATGTATATAAAAGAGGCCAGCAGAGGGCAACAAATCCCCTGGAACTGAAGTTACAGCCTGTGTGAGCCTCTGTACAGGTGCTGGGAATTGAACCTGGATCAACAGGCGGCGCTCTTATCCGGTGAGCCAGCACTCCGGCTCCAAAACATCGTTTTGAAAGACACTAATCAGCATTTTTGACTGATCCCGTGGCATAAGTTCCTGCCTTGAGTGAAAAGCCAAATTGCTTGTTTATTATTTATTACTTGCAATGCTGGGGATCAAATCTAGGATTTTGTGTGTGCTTAGCTAGCTCTACCACTGAACTATGCCCCCCCACCCCGTCTGCAAGTGGCTTTTCCAGTGAGGAAACGTCACAGTGGCCACTTTGCCTCTGCTTTTCTTCATGTGGCATGCTGCCCATCTCTGGCTCCTTATAGTACTGACGGGTGATCTGAGTACTATACTACCAGCAAGACTTCAGTCTTGCCAATTTAATATGATGGGAGAACAAGGGTCAACATAAGGAGACACTGAATATCAGTGTAAAGTTCATAATAAGTAAAGTTAAAAACTTGAGAACTTGGAAAGTCCCACCACGTTTTATCCCCAAACACCTCGTGTGACAGACAAGAAAACGAGGTCAAGAGGAGAGTCCCTGGCAAAGTCACCACTGGAGCCCAAGTTTCCGGGTTCCAGTGGAGAGCTTATCAACAAGCAGCATGGCTGGCCTCCCTTCTTTCCTAGGAGGCTCTGCAGCCACGCCATCCCCTTGCCAAGACAGTCACCTTCCCGGAACGCCTCCCCCATTCCAGTCCCTCCTACAGCCTGGCTGAGTTGCAGCTCAAATTAGAAGTCGTGCAGCATGGGACATTTTCTGGGAGGGTGCCCAGCCTCAGAGTCATTGGTACCAATGAGTAGGGACGAGGATGGAAGAAAGAAGTGACGTTCCACAAAGGCTCTGGGAGAAAGAGGCCCTGGGAGCAGATGCAGCGAGATGCCTGGACAAGACTGCTCGCAGTGACATCTCCCAACACGCAAGGGTAAGCAGACCAGCATGGGCACTACTTCTAGGGAGAGACTTGAATGGCTGGGCCCTGATGGGTAGGGATGCAGGCGGCCTCTCAGAGTCCAAGTTGCACCTCCGGGGAGCCTCCTGGCAGGGTGAGGTGGCACCAGCGTCAGGCAGAGGCCCCGTGACAAGGATGCCCGGTCCACCTTTGAGATGACACCGCTTATTGGCAGAGGCCCAACCCGCACGTGAAGTGATCGCTGTGTCGGGGAAGAGGAGGAGGCCCTGGACCTCACCAGCCCGGCCAGCCGTTCTGTGGCTCACTCGACGCCTGCCCCACGCGCGGCCTTACCAAGACACTGCCCTACAGGGGTGCTGAACGGATTCCCCAGCAGGAACTCCATCTCTGCAGGCCTCGTTCCGGCCCGGATGCCTGTGTGCCGCGGGTCTCCGCTGCCCGCGCCGCGCTCTGCCCTGACTGACACTTGCCCCCGCCCCACCCTCGGGAACGCCGAGCGCCGGCCTGACCTCGCCCTCGGGGTGCATCTCTATTGGGCAGCGTCTGCCCAGCCCGCCTCCGATTGGACGGCACGCCACTCTCGGCGAAGTCCCACCCACCCCGCAGCGTCCGATTGGGCAGGAAGCAAGCTAAGTCACTGGGGTCCCCGTCAGCCGTAGCGGCACAACCCCCCCTGGACCCGCCTCCAAGCGGGGTGGCCGTTCATTTTGATTCATTAGCCTGTTGGTCCGTCTAGAGAATCCTTACTATGATTGGGTAAAAGGCGCGTCCATCTTCCAAATAAAGAAAGCGTAACTAGAAGTTGTCGCGCATTGACGGTGCCGATTGGAGAGACGTTTGTTTTCTTCAAGGCTGGTTCGCCGCCCAGAAATATGGTCACGTGACACCTCAACTTTCACCCAGGATATCTATTGCCTGACTTCCCCTTAGCAACAGAGTGGCGGTGCTTGGTTACCAAGCAACCAAGCGACGCGTCCACTTCAAGGAGAGGCCTTAGGAAGGTAAGAAGCAAGCAAGAGTCTAGGCTCCAAAACGACTCCAAGAGCAGAGGTTGCGTGATTCGTCTGTCTTGTAACTCTCTGTGAGGACTCCGACCTGGCCTTTCTCATTTGTAAAATGAGCACACATGCCATTTTACTGAGACTTATTAGGCCTTTGGAGAAGAAAATTACGTATAGATACTAAAGCCCGCAAAAGCTAGTAGGAAGAGCGTCTATCTGCCGGTTTCCTGGCCTGATCAGTTTCACAGAAAGACGGGTACCCCATTCTCTTGATCATCAATAAGTTACTTCATTTGATGCTGTACGAAGTGCTTGGGATGAGAATACAGATACTAGGGTTCCATATCAGTCGCTGTCAGTATTTCACTGTATGACCTTTTCCCCTCAAAGCCTCAGTTTTCCCATCTGGGAAGTGAGGGCACTAAGACACCTTTTCTGTTTTGTTTTGATTTTCGAAACAGGGTTTCTCAGTGTAGCCTTGTCTGCCCTGGAACTCACCAGGAAGGCCTCGAACTCACAGAGATCCTCTTGCCTCTGTCTCCGGAGTGCTGGGATTAAAGGCGTGTGCCACCACCACCCGGCCTAAGGCACCCTTCTTAATAGCTCCCAGAGTAGACATGTAATTAAATAAGTTGTGTGCACTGAGAGTGAGACAAGCCGTCAGCAGTTGCTTTTATTCTCATTATTTTATGGACAATAGGATATATATGGTGTTGTAGGTCCAACTGATCCAGGTTGTTGTTTCTCAGGAAAACTTGGACTTTCTCCCAGTGAAGAGCCTACCTGGTTGATTTGTAAGTAAAGCTTTCTGCTGCTTCTCCACATTCTATCTCTGGTCTTCACCAAAGACACTATCATCAGGCAAGTCAACCAGGCCCCCATTTCGATAAATTATTGATAACCCCCATAGGGGAGGATTCTTTGGGCCTTGTTTTAGGAAAAAACTGTTAGAAACATGAGCTGTGATAATGGTTGTTCCTAGTATGCTGGTTACAATAGAGTCATGATTAGGAAAATGGGTTCTGGTATATACAAGCAGTCTTTTGGGAAATCTGCATTTTGGTCAACCTAGGAAAGCCTTGATGTTACAAAGATCCCTACTGTGTGTTTTCATAGTTCTGCACATACACTAACTTGTCATTGTAAGTAAATATTGGGTTGAGTTATCTAATTCAAGTTGGAAATTGAAGACCTCTCTGAGTTATTCATAACTGTTGCTGTCAACCCCAAAAATCAGGCCATACCCCGTTAGTATTCTTTCTCAAGGTTGGTTATAGAGAGCTACTGGGATCTTGTAGCTCTCGTGAAGTTCTCTCTCCCCACGTACAGTTGTGCACAAGCCCATCTCCCAACATCTGGGCCCAGACAAACTTGAATTGCAACTTTACTCTCTTGTCTAGGCCTTCCACCATGCAAGGGTCATATAGACTAGGTCAGGCCAGGTTCCATGATGTGGAACTAAAAAGACTACCACTCCCCACCCCCTACCCCCCCATAAAAACTGTATGAGTCAGAAACGTCCTTTGTTCTCTGGATCTGAGGGAGCTAATGGAACTGGAAAGTCTGTCTTTTCCTTCAGGGCTCCTCATGGCTGCCTAGACCATGAGGTCATCTCCTCTAGTGTTCTCCCACTTCAGGGATCCTTAGAGCTCTTTGTGGCCATGAACCTTGAACTCTCATAGCAAAGTTCTTCTGAAGGGCAATTTATTTCAGCTTCTTTTTCTATTAAACTTTTCCTCCACCCCACTTTCTAACACTATTATTGGACCAATCAATCACTTAGCTTGGGTGTAACCTTCCAAACTAGATTCTGTTTCAAGCTGGGGATGATTAGTCCTACATATAAACTGAGTTCCTAGAGATGTCCCAGGCCCTCATATACTCCTTCCTTTCTTCTTCCCTCCCTTCTTCCTTGCTGGCTTTCTTCCTTTTGTCCCTGCATTGTCCTGGAAGCCCTGGTCCCTCCACCCAAACCCTACCCACTCAGAGAGTCTCAGAACAAAGGAAAGATGCCAAAAACTCTAGTTCCTGCATCCTTGGTGGCTACTGTAGCTTCCTCCCCTGAAGTTGCCAGCCGCTCCAATCCCCGCTGAACTGCTCAGCTTGTGACCATACTTGGGCACAAACCTACCTTGTGGTGGAAACATCATCACCCCTCGCATACAGTCTATAACACTTTCCTGCCCTGGCTTGGGTGCTCGACTTCTCTGGCCTCCATCTCTGGAACCAGAGACCCTGCCCAGGAGGAGTGGCTTTACTCAATATAACCTGTTGTTACACTTTTTCAGGTCAGCTTGATCTGGTTTACTGCATCAGCAGAGAAACTATTGGGGGAAGCAGGAAACCTATTAATAACGAGATTTTTAAAAATAAAATCTAATCCATCTCTGCGTTATAAGCCCTAGGAGCTTCCCAGCCACCATAGGATAGAAATGCAGTTCCAGCCCTGCATCACTTCTGCTTTCTTGCTTGGGGTCCTCATCTTGCAGTTCCCTCTTCCTGCTTTCTTTTCTATTTGTCCTTCAAATTGTGTCTTCCCTGGCCAGGCTAACCGTCCCTACTGAGTGCTTTCATAGTTCCCCATCCCTACTAACTTGTTGTTTGTAAGTATATATTGGCATGATTATTTAATTCATGTCTGAAACAGAAGACCTGTGTGAGTTGTTCATGACTTGTAGTAGTAATTCAGGATGGGTGTGGAGACTGAACAAGATCTTACAGAAATGCAGGGGGAAGGAATTATCTACCCAACAGGAACAAGACCAAGGTTTGAGCTGGTGGAGTTATTTTTCAAAAGATACACAGTCAGAACCACAGTTCTGCCCTGGGTGTGAACATTTAGCATAGATTAACACCAATCCTAAACTGCATAGAACCTGCTGGACTCGACTGAAAGCTAGCTCGACCTGTCACAGTTAATGGGCTTTGATGAAATGGAGGTCAAAGTTTTGACACCAGATTGAGTCATTTCCCAAAGTACAACACCTTTTTGTTGCTTTTTTTAAGCTCTAAATACTTTTCAGATAACATCTCACAAATGAAACACATTAAAAATTCCCCAGAAGTAAATTTTGAGGTTGGTGGTAAATTATGAGAAACTTTAAGGAAAATTGTTTAGGAAGAATAGGAAGCTGATGAGCACAAGAATTGCCCTGGGAGTTTGAATCAGTCAGTCACCCTGTGGAGGAGGAGTCAGCTGGAGAGAGCAGGAAGACAAGGCTGAAGGATGGGGGGCACAGATGGAGAAAAAGCAGGGACCATGGGAGATACCCAGATCAAAGAAACCGTCGCATCCAGGTAGAGCTTGGTGAGCCAGTGAGCTAGCTCACTGCAGTTACTACAGGATGATGAGGGACTCAAAGGCAGCTGCGTTGCTAAAAAGCCAATCCCAGCATGGGTGACAAATCATGGCAGTTGTGTCCTGGAGCTCTAAACCTAACTTACAAGCCCCTCTATCAAAGACTGCTTTTTCTTCCTCAGAAATTATATATAAACTCTGTTGTTGTTGTTGTTTGTTTGTTTTGGATGTTTTGTTTTGTTTTTGAGACAGGGTCTTTTAAATAGCCTTGGCTGGTCCTGGAACTCCCTAGGTAGACTAAGGCTGGCCTCAGACTTAAAGATCCTCCTGCCTAAAGCATGTGCCGCCATGCATGGCCTTATATCAACTCTTAAGTAGCCTCCTAGTATTGTAACTTGGTGAGCTTCCTGAGCCTATGAGTCACTCTCCCTCCAGGAAGGAATGTTTTAATTCAGAGGAAATGGCTACATGACATTGGGTAGGTGAGTGGAAGGGCAGGGCACTCACACACGAGTTAGTGACATGGGAATCTTTGACCAGGGATAGTGGAAGAACAGAAAGTGAAGACTTATATATGCTGCATTCAAATGGATGGTAACCGAGCAAAGAGGGAGGCCATCTTAGAAGGAAGACAGATTGTCAGGATTCCTGCTAAAGCAGTCTCAGGCGTTGCCCTGGCCCTGGGGAGTAGAAAGCAGAGGGAAGCCCACCTGGAATCGAGATGGGGAGGACCAGAGGTTCAGGGAGACCTGTGACCAAAGGCACAAGGTAAGAAGGGAGGTGAGAAGCAAGTGGGAGCAGAGGGGAGGATGGACTCCCAGAGTGTTCCGAAGGCCGAATTCCAGTGGACTGCCAGGAGCATGTGGCCCCGCCTTTCTGGGGTTGGAAATGATCACAGTGAGGTCTGAGCAGCTGCCCTCCAGGGCTGTAATGCTACCCAGCCAAGCATAGCAATCAAGTACATTTAACCCAATATACAGATCCCTGCCTTTACCACAGTGCCTCAGCAGATCCCTTTGGGCCATTAGCAACCCGATTTAGCTTAAGTAACAGAGAAATTAATGTGAGAACTCCAAAACTGCATAAAGAGACACTAACATGTACACAGCCTGGACTTAGGGAAGCAGCAAGTAAACACCTGCTCTGTGTGTGTGTGTGTGTGTGTGTGTGTGTGTGTGTGTGTGTGTGTGTGTGTTCTTGCTCTCTACCTCTCTACCCATGTGCCTGGCGAGTGCTAGTTACATAGTTCCTCCCTATGTGAGCACCCAGCTCATGTGGTCACGCTCATTCTGAGATGCCAAGGTTCCCATTTCTCAAGGGAGAACATGAATGGCCGTCTTGGGTCAATGGCTCCTCCATGCATGACTGTCTGCCTGGGGGTGAGGTACTCCCAGGAGGGCCACTGCTGGGAAGGCTTAGGGCAGCCTTCCAGCAATGCATTTGCCCCAAGGAACAGAAGCACGGGATGGGAGTGGGCAGCCTGTGGCCTCCTGACAGACCAGGACACCATGACAGACACAGCCCAATTCTGTTCTCAAACCAAAGGAACAGTCTGTGAAGAGGAACGCAATTTCTCAGGAAGGATGAGCCGGTCATATGACTCGATGGATCCGAAAGTGATGGACGACGACATGCTCAAGGCAGCTGTTGGGGAACAAGGCCCCCAGGAGGAGGCTGGGCAGCTAGCCAAACAGGAGGGCATCCTCTTCAAAGACGTCCTGTCCCTGCAGCTGGACTTCCAAAGTACGTATCCTGGGTGCCAGGAGTGTGGCCTGGGTGTAGCAGGGCCTCCCTGACTATCTCTGCCCTATTTCAAACCCCCAAATTCCACAGTCAGGGGTCAGTGCATAGGGGTGTCAGAGCCCACCAGGCACAGGAATGGGAGGGGCACGTGCTGCATCAACCCCATCCAGTAGCTCCATAATTTGTCCACAATACTCCTGATTCTGAACAAGAACAGAAAAAAGCCTTCAATCCCAGCACTCGGGAGGCAGAGCCAGGCGGATCTCTGTGAGTTCGAGGCCAGCCTGGGCTACAGAGTGAGTTCCAGGAAAGGTGCCAAAGCTATACAGAGAAACCCTATCTCGAAAACAAACAAAAAGAACAGAAGAGAAAAAAAATGGAAAAAAAAGATAAGATTGCCCTGCTCCAAATCTAAGTGAGCCCCAGAGACCATGCTTTTTCCACCATCTGACTCTACACTGACTTGGAATGGAATCTTTCATATGGAATGAAGTCCTTGGAATGGAGGGATCCCTGGCGGACAGAACCAAGGAGACCCCCCATTGCTGGTGCCAGGGTAGGAGTGCCGGGAGAAAGAGGTGGAGCCAGCACTGGTGGGAGTGCTTCTGGGGTAGGGTGTCCAAAGAGGAAGGGCATAGAGAGCCCTGAAGCGGGGAGGCACCCTGGGAGTGACAGGGCAGCCCAGTGGAAGATATAGCTCAGGACAGGCCGAGACTTAGTGTCTCAGCATCCCCAACTGCGAACCGGGAGCAGCTCCTTGTCCTATGTTCTGATTGGGAAGATAAGTTCAATAACATGTGCCTGGGTCATGCTAGAAGGCCAGTGAGTGTGACCCAATGAGCCAGGACAGAAGCCAGAACTGAGGGAGGAGAGAGCTTCGGTTGGTACGTATCTCAGTACTCAGGGTGCAGAGGCAGTAAGACCTCCAGTTCAAAGCCAGGCTGGGCTACATAGTGAGACCCTATCTCAAAAATATAAGGACTGAGTAGGGGAGGGCTGGCTCAGTGGTTAAGAGCACTGGCTGCTCTTCCAGAGGATCCAGGTTCAATTCCCAGCACTCACATGGCAGCTCACGCTGTTCTGTAACTCTAGTCCCAGGGATCTAATGCCCTCTTCTGGCCTCCACGGGCATTGTATACATGTGGTACACGCACATATATATGTACAGGCCAAACACCCATGCATATCAAATAAAAGTAAAGGAACATATATATGAACTGAGAAAATGGATCAGTAGTAGAGGGCTTACGGTGCATGAGACTTAATCCCAACATTGCCAAAAAGAGGAGCAGGAGAAAGAAGGAGGTGGGCAAGGATCCCGAGCCCTCTGTGTTCTGAGTAGGTAAGGTCTCGGAAAGTGGCCTGATGTCTGAGGCCCCAGCTGTCTAGGCATTTGGTCAACAGCAAAGATGCAGAATCCCATGCCAAACACTGGGGATAGCCATGAGCAAGCAGACCTGGCCTTGTGTAAGTCCAAAGCGGCCCGCGCCTCGAGTATGGCCTCCAGGGATGACCCAGCGCTTCTTACACCTTCCCTGGCAGGAGGGATGAATGGGGAGCGGCCACTTCCTTCCCACCTCCCCCACCTAATGGGCATTCCGCCAGCACTGAGCAAGCGCCCAAGAGATGCCAGACGCTGTTCCAGGCGTTCCGATTCAGCACAGTCCAAAAGACAAAGACCCTTACCGTATGGGGTTGGTGTGAGGGAGACAATGAGACAAGGAAATTAAAACGTTACAGGCAGTGTGTGCTGTCGGAGAGACAAGGCAAAGGAAGGAGAAAATGGACATGGGAGTTGGGCACAGAGCCTTGCCAAGGTTAGACCCGAACAAACACTTAAAGGAGATGAGGAAGGGAACCATATGGAGATCTACACGGTGGGGGTGGTGTGTGTGTGTGTATGTGTGTGTGTGTGTGTGTGTGTGTGAGAGAGAGAGAGAGAGAGAGAGAGAGACAGAGAGAGACAGAGAGAGACAGAGAGAGACAGAGAGAGACAGGGAGCAACCAGTGGAAGGTCAAGAGGTAAGCCAGAGCCAGAGCCAGCCTGAGAAGGCCTGCTGAGGAAGCCAGGGTGTAGACAGGCCAGGGAGAGCGTGTCGTCAGCTGGTGCTTGTCTCCGACAATGAAATGTATTTGGCTTTCATAGTGAGTTGTGATTCCCAAGTATCCTGAGTAGAAACAGGATAGGGTGGGACTTGAGTTCTCACAGAATCCTGCTGGCTACCTGCAGGGGCAGGGGAAAACAGGAATCGAGTGATGGCTACTAGTGTGACCGACCCAGAGAACAATGGTGATGGCCTTGCCAAGGTAGTGGTCACAGAGGTGGAGTTGGTGGCTGTGGGAAGGATTAAGTCAGCCTTTGGGAGGGAAGGTCATTTGGAGCTGTCAGAGATATCCTTGTTTGTTGGGATATTTTGGCCTTTCCACATCACCTGTTGTTGCCTAAGGGAAAGCCAGGTACAGGTGTACCAAAGCCACCTACCTAAAGTGGCCCGGCTGGAAGCCATCATAGCAAAGGGTGAGTCAGGCCTGGGTTTTGGCCTTTCAGACAGAGGGCCACATTAGGTGCCTGGAAGATCCAAACCAGAAATAGGAAGTGGTTAAGAGCCTTGGGCTGAACAGCACCACCTCCAGAAACACGTGGAGACAGAGACAACAGCAGTTCAGGAAATCTGGCAGCAAACAGAGACCTAAACAACAGATTCTTGTGCCACCTGGCCCTGAGGACATGGAGGAAATAGAAAGTACCACTCCAGCCCCAAGGGGAAAGCAATGGATAGATGGGAGTATCCTGCATCCCCAAGACCTGTGAAGGGAGTCAGAGCACCCTCACACACCCAATCTCAGAACCTCACCAACAGGCCCCATCTCTTGGATAAATGTGAGCTCTCGGTAGAAGTTTGTTTTGTACTGGGGATTGAAGCTGGGGCTCTGAGCATGCTACCCAGGTGTTCTACCACTGAGCCGCAGCATCTCCAGGCTTGCACCACCTTTGTGTCCGGTGCCTCCAGAGGTCATGAGGTGGTGTTGAATCCCCTAGAACTGGAGTTACAAATGGCTATAAACCACATGTCAGGGCTGGGAACCAAACCTGGGTCCTCTGCAAGAGCAAACAAGTACTCTTAACCACTGAGTCATCTCCCCCACCACACCTGCCCCAAGTTCTCTTATTTTCATTTTGAAACAGGCTTTCCCTGAGCTGCCTGGCATCGAACTCGTTAGCCTCCTGGCGATAAGCCTCTGATGCTAGTCCCAGCTGGACCTCACTACATATCCCGGCTAGACTTTTAGTTCTCCTGCCTCCGCCTCTTGATACAGGTGTGCACCCTCGTGCCAGGCTCTTCGTAGTCATCTAAAAAACCCTTTCACATCTGTAGTATTTGATTTCTTTATATGAGTATAGTCTAAGATAAAAGTTTTGGAATAAGGGGGTGTGGTGGCTATTATTGGTTGCCAACTCGACAGCCTCTGGAATTAGCTACAACTCAAATGGCTGGGCACACCTGTGAGAGATTTTTTTCGCAGATCATTTGAAGTGGGAAGATCAACCTTTTCTGTTTGTTTTTGTTTTTTTTATTTTTCAAGACTGAGTTTCTCAGTGTAGCAATGGCTGTCATGGAACTCACTCTGTAGACCAGGCTGGCCTTGAACTCACAGAGATCTGCCTACCTCTGCCTCCTGAGTGCTGGGATAAAAGGCGTGCGCCACCACTACCCAGCAGGAGATCCACTTCTAATCTGGATCTTTGAGGTGGGAAGATCCACCTTTAATCTAGCTACACCTTCTGCTGGCAGCCTTTATAAAGGACATGGAAGAAGGAAGCTCTTTCTCTCTGCCTGCTTGCTCTCCCTGGCAAGTCCATTCTTCCATTGGCATTAGAGCCAACTTCTTCAGGATTCCAGCGTGTACTGAAGACCAGCTGAGACATCCAGCCTTGTGGACTCTGAACAACTACTGGATTCTTAGACCTTCTCTTTCCGCAGTGGCTTCTGAGACTGAACTCAAGTCATCAGATCCCACAGCAAGCACTCTGCCTGATTCATCCTGTTGTTGTTGTTCTTTGTCTTTCTTTTCTTTCTCTAATTTTTTTAATTTGAGACAGGGTCTCATTTGTAGCCCTGACTGGAACTGGTTGTGAAGACCAGGCCTCGAACTCACAGAGCTCCACCTGCCTCTGCCTTCTGAGTAAGATATACAGATATAGATATAGATATATAGATATATCTATATATATGCTAAGAGCCAGTGTTCTATCTCTAGTCCATATACACAAAGTACCCTGAGTGGACATTTGGATATATAAATTTTGTGTATGTATATTGTGTGTGTGTAAGTGCATGTGTGTGGGTGCACATGTACGCACATATGTTTAGAGGGGTGTGTGTGTGTGTGTGTGTGTGTGTGTGTGTGAAGTTCTGTTCCTCTCTGTGACTAATACAGAGGGCTAGAACAATATCTCAGCAGTCAAGAGCTCTGGCTGTTTTTCTAGAGGACCCGGATTCAATTACTAGCACTCACATGGTGGCTCACAACTGTCTGTAACTCCAGTTCCAAGGGGTCTGACACCCTCTTCTGGCCTCTACAGGTCACTGCACACAGCACACACAAGGTATACATACATACATACATACATACATACATACAGGCAAAACACTTATAAAATAGAAATAAAGGAAGGATTTTCTTCATTTTTGGAATAAGTATAAAAACAAATATAGTTCTTTAAACTAACTATATTTGCACACAACAGCAGGCCTAAGTGTGGCTTATGGGGAAGGCTGAGAGGCACTGAATTTGTTCTGCTGACCTCTAAGTTTCCCATACTCAATATGGATTTATTTATACTTAAGTATGTATTTATACGATTTATTTATACTATTCAGAATGCTTCTTGCTTCCAGTGACAGAAACCAAACTCTGGCCATATGACATGCCCAGGGAGAAAATGGCTGTATGGCCAGGGTGAGTCCTCATGACCACAGGGTCTTGTTGCTGCCCAGCTGTCTGGGCCCTGCCTTCTGTTGTGGGTGACCCTCCCAGCAGCTGCTGTCTTCTGTCCTCACATACCATAGATATTTCTGTGATGTGTTTGGAGACAGGTTTTCTTTTTTTTTAATTTGCAGGTCTGGCTAGCATGGTGATACACGCCTTTAATCCCAGCACTTGGGAGGTAGAGGCAGGTGGATCTCTGTAAAGGTTGAAGCCAGCCTAGTCTACATAGTGAGCTCCAGGACAGTTAGGATTACATAGTGAGACCCTGACTCAAGAAAAAAAAAAGAAGGAAGAAAGGAAGAAGAGAAAAAAGGAGAGGAGGAGGAAGAAAGGAAGGAAGGAAATTATAGGTCAAATGGCACAGACGCTAAATATTGCAATAAATGTTACAAAATGACCTTCCAGGAGTAAAACCAGTTGAGTGACCCTCCCACCATGCCGGCCCCTGCTTGTAACCTGTGTCCCAAGGTAGACCTGTTTTCTTGGGAGTCCAACCCAGTCCCTGGGGCAGTGTGAATGAGTCTCCTGCCCTGAGCAGACCCAGCTCACCTCCACACAAGATACCTGCCTAGCACCCCCCCATCCCATTAGACCTCTTTACCCTTCCCAGTGGCCCTGGGTAACAGTGCTGGTCCTACGCTCACATGTTCCTCCTCAGGGGAACTCTAGCGAAGGAGAGAGGTGTGGAGCCCCATATGAGTACATCTCAGTCTGTCAGGGCACTGACCCAAAGCCCCAGCCTTCGTCACATCCGGGCACTCTGGTCATTTCAGACATCCTCCGCATCGATAACCTCTGGCAGTTTGAGAACCTGCAGAAGCTGCAGCTGAACAACAACATCATCGAGAGAATCGAGGGCCTGGAAAACCTCGTCAACCTGATCTGGCTGGGTAAGGCCCGGCTCTGTGTCCGCCAAGGACATGCGTCGCCTCCCTGCAGAATAATCGCGGTGACACCAGCCTGCCAGCCTGTTGTTAGCCCAGGCGCAGCAGAAATGCTCTGTCTGTTAGGAGCAAGAAAGTGACAGTCTGGGAAAAGCCTGGGGCTTATGCTGGGCAGAGCATGACAAAGATGTGCTGTCGCATACCAGGCAGACTATTCCATCCCACCTGCCAGCCGCTCAGGTTGGTGGGCACAGGGGCAGCCCTGGACTGGCATTTTATGTAGGCACAGGTGGACAGCTGGCCATTATAATGAGCACAGTGCATAGCCATGTGCTGATTGTGGCCAGCTCCCATGCTTCATAGGAGTTTGCTTGATCCATGCACCATTCCCATCACTACAATGAATAAACCAAGGTGACAAGTTAAAAGAGGGCCACAGACTCCCTTATCAATCTCTGTGTGATTCTAGAACTTTCGGCTTCACTGCCAAGGTCATTGGGAGCTTGGCCTCTTAGCTGCCTCTCCACCTAGTGAGGGGCATCTAAAGGACAAAGACGACGGGCTGGAAGCTCCTTAGAAACGTCTTACTTAGCTCCCACAATGGTCCTAGGAGACACTTAATGGCTGTTAGTATCCAATGGGGGCTGAAGCTCAGAGAAGCACAGCCGAGCAGCATCAGAGCTGGCCTAACCCTGCTCCTGTCTGCCCCATCCCAAGGCACATGTCCCTCCATCTTGCCAGGCTTCCCAGGGCCATGAATAGAGCTCTCAGCCTGCAAAGCACTCTCAGCTCTGCTTGTGCCGATGTTGGGAGCCACAGTAACCCCACTCATGGGCTTAAGGGGCCACTACACAGATGCAGCCTCTGAGACTCCAAGAGGCTGACTAACTAGCCAGACAGAGTTGTATGCTCCAGGTGGCAGAAGCAGACAGAGATGAGTCTTCTGGCTGTGGGGCCAAAGTCTCCTTCTCAGGCACACTTTGCTGTACCCTAGTACTCATTAGCGCTGGTTCCCGGTCTCTGGGGTCCATCTGCATGGCTAGGAGTCACCTGTCTCTATAGGAAGTGAAATCAGTACCTCAACAGTGGGACAGGTACCCACATCAGCCCAGGTTCTGAGCAATACCTGATACCCAGAAGCCAGCAGGCCAACCTGTCTCTTGGAGTAAAGCCATGGATCCTACAAAGACACATGCTTGACCATTCACCCAGAGGGAGATTTGAATACTAGCCACATTACCCTCCTGACCCAAAGCCTCTACTTCCTGCCTGATCAAAGAGAAAGATTCCAAACTACTAACTGGAGCTGTCAGAGGACATGCATATGAACATGCGGTAGATGGAAATGCTAAGCGCGTGGGAAGCAGTCTTGCTAGAACATCCACAAATATAAAGGAAAGGCCATCTCCCAACTCTGCCCCTGCTCCCCAAGTACATGTTTAGATCTACTACTGGGTTCTCTCATCCCAGAACTGACAGTGCAGAGAAGACTTCCCAGTCAGAGGGGAGCTGGCAGAACCAGACAGATGGCAGACAGAAGGCTGCAGGAAAGTCCATCTGATTCTCCTGGAATCCCTGAATCAGCTCCTCTGCTACATGTCACTCCCAAGAGCTCTCAGCAACCTGACGGTTGTTTCAGGACCATCCCTCGTCTAACCCAAGCAGTGTATCCTCAGACCCCTCAGAGTCCTCCTTCTTTTCAGATTTGTCCTTCAACAACATCGAGACCATTGAGGGGCTGGATACCCTCGTCAACCTGGAGGACCTGAGCTTGTCCAACAACCGGATCTCCAAGATGGACTCTCTGGATGCCCTGGTGAAGCTGCAGGTGCTGTCGCTGGGCAACAACCAGATCAGCAACATAATGAATGTGAGTACCAGGCCTGGGGACCCATGCGCAAACACAGCAGGGCCTTGGGCTGCGCCAGAGCAAAGGTCTATGATGGCAGACACACAGTACGCCCTTTTCCTGGAAAGATCAGACATCCAAATTATTCCACAAGGGATTTGAAAGCCTGGAAAGACCATACTTAATCTGACAAAATCTTCTCTGGGTACTAGGTTGTGTGGCCTCCGCTGTGGTCCTATCCCTGCTGAGTCTCATGCTCACGTGGCAAACCTTTGCTGAAGTGAAAGACCTACTGGACGTGGGGCATTTGCTCTATGCTTAGTGAGACAGAGATGGCAATGTATGGTCTTTTTGGGGTAACAGTTGTACCCACATCATCTAGACAGAAATGACAGGAAGTTAGTGTCTCAAATAACAATGAAGCAATCCCTGTGGATGGTAGCAGGGCAAATGTGTCTCTATGACAGCAGACATTGTTGGGAGGTAGGCTGCTCCCAGTACACATCACCGGGGGGCTCCCAGTAGGGAGACACAACTTAGCCTCTGGTAACAACTACTGAGTGCTATGTCAGAGGTGATCCCATTGCTTCTCCAGCTTAGACATCAGTCCAGGACTGTCTAATACCTTTCAAGATTCCATTTCCACATATATCAATCAGTTGTCCTGGCGATGCCCCCAAATGGCTCACCTGAGCAGAAGAGTGAGCCAAGGCACCAAGTTACTGCCCACCCTTAACTTGCTGCCTTGACTGTTCATCAGAACCAAACTACAGAGACAGCATAGTCCTCACTTTGCATGTCAGGCATGAAGATCTACGCCTGAGTGAGGTGCAAGCTTTCCAGGTCTCAGTTTTCTCACCTGTCAAATAGAGAGGTGACAGTGGCCCACCAGTCTAAACTAAGGTGAGGTGATAAGCAAAAGTACCTGGTGCTGGAAGAGGCTGTTCTCTCTCCCTCTCCCTCCCTCTCCCAGTCTGTCCCAGCTGAAGTCAGAAGTAAGCTAAACATCTGCCACAAACGGGCACTTGGTGTGTGGTCAGCGGCATGGCAGGGAGGGGACTTCTCAACAGGACTCGGGCTCGGCCATCCTCGCCATTGTATTCTAGCTGTTTATCCTTACGGCATCCTTGCTTGTCTATGACAGGACAGAGAGAGGAAGAAGTCTCTTCTCTGGTGTCCGTGTCCCTTCAGGCTGCTAGGCCACCGAAGGCTCTATACCTACCCTCAGACCATGTCATGTGTGAGCATAGCCCGCTGGGCGGCTTAAGTGAACAGCAAAGTAAATCAAGCATTGACTGGTCATTAGTATTGAAGTCTGCCTGGTGGGGCCAAACCCCAGAGACTGATAGTCTCGGAGGTTCGCTGTGTACAACAGGTCAGAGGATTCAAACTCACCAGAACCCTTTCCAGATTCAAGCCCCAATTATCCAGTCCCCTCTCTGCTCTGTGAGATAGGGAGCCCCAGCACTGCCCAGCAGGGTGGCCAAGTAAGGCCTGGAAGGTGTGGCTAGCAGAGTCAGCCAGTGTTAGCTGTCTGACATTGAACTAATGACTTAGATTCTATGTGTCCATTCGCACATCTATACAGTGTGATCAATAGTAGACCTCAGGGTTGCTGTGAAGACTGAATCAGTTACAGTACTATCTGCCTAATGCAGGACCCACACATAGTAGGTACACAGAAAATGATAGTCACTCAGGAATTCTCAGGTTCTGGGTTAACCCCAAATAGGCCTTTTGTTTTCTTTATCTTTTCTTTCTTTCTTTTTAAAAACTCATTGTGTTTTAGCTCTGCTAGGGATGTAATCCGGGGACTTGTGCATGCAAGGTCCATGCTATACCACTTAGCCAGAACTTCAGCCTCAAACCTTGGTGTTGAACATTTAGCATCAGTTTCTGCCTCGGTATGTCCCGCCCCCGGGATCTCAGCATGAATCACCATCTTTGGACACTGGAAACGCTAACAGAGCTGAGGCCTTACCCAGACCTGGACAAAAGAAGATGGAGAGGTTATGGAGGCTGTATCAGAATGCCCCACTCTCAGCCGAAGACTTTAGTGTTCTGCCATGCTGCCCTGCAGCACCTGGGCGGGTGAGGCCTCATCACTCTCTCTAGTGGGGTGCTGGGTACCAAGCTCTCTGTCAGTACTCTAGATGTACGTATAGCCTGTCTCCAAAGAAAGAGAAAAACAGATTGTTCATGGAAACCTGCAAGATATCTGAGATATCTAGGCCGAGTGTCCCCAGGCATCCTCTCCACCTAACCAGACAATAATCTTTGTTGCTTGACCCAGAGAAGCCTGACTGACACCCCTTAGGCACTAGCTTTAAAATATATATATATATATATATATAAAACTTTATTATTCTATGTGTGTGTTTGTAAGTACACAGATGTACTTCTGTGCACCACTTACTTGCAGAGCCCATAGAGGCCATCAGATGATGTTAGATACCCTGGAACTGGGGTTACAGGTAGTTGTGAGCCACCAGGTAGGTGCTGGGAATCGAACTCAGGTCCTCTGGAAAAGCAGCCAGTGCTCTTAACCACTGAGCCATCTCTCTCCAGCAAGCACCAGTTTTTTTTTTTTTGTTGTTGTTTTTTTTTTTTTTTTTTTTTTTTTTTTGCCTAGAGTCTTTCCTATTTATTCAACATCTAACTACACACTGTTTTGTAATTTATTTGTTGGGGTTATTTTAGTACCTGCTGATTGCATTCAAAACACAGCCAAGTAATCCCAAGTCAGAGCACAGAAGCCTCAGTTTTCCTGCCTCTTCCCCACACCTGAGCTTCTTCCAAGTTCCATGAGTTACCCTCCAGGCATCCTGTGTTCAAGCATGTGTGTGACTGTCACATTTGCCCAGCTGTCCTCCAGGCACCTGCCTTCAACTGGCCCCTCTCTTCTCCAGGCAGCACTTAGCATGATTACTGGCACAGCAGACCGGATTCCCCACCCCACCCCCCTTGCTGGATCACTCATCATGGGGCCCTGGTTCTCTAGGGTGGCAGTCAAGGTCATTTCCAGCTGGTGCCATTGCATGCAGGATGAAGTGTGTGTCTGTGAGCAGGGTGTAGTGGAACAGGGTTCTCTACATGTGCACCATTCCATTGTAAGGTAAACTCCTGGAGTGGGGCTGCTAGATCAGAGGGCATCCTGCTTCTTTGCCAAACTTGTCTAGTGAACCGGAACTGTTTACAGACCTCCCTCAGAGAAGGGGCTGCCTACTCACTCTTACCCACTGCCACACATTTTGTCAGCAACTTTTTTTTCTCTCGGTGGCTAAAAGATGTAAAGGAGCTCAAACTTGAAAAATCTTCTAGAAATTAAACCAGATACTGCCTTCCTCCATAAACAAGACCCCAGTGGCTTCCATAGTTTTTAGGACACATTGAAATTCTTCCTGAAAGCCTGGATGGTCTTCCAGGAAGCAGCCTCTGATACTGTCTCCACCCCCTCCCACCCCACCCCTAACCCCCACCCCACCCCCACCCCTGTGTCTTATGTCCTTCCAGCTGTCCCCTCTCCACTGCTCTGCAGCAACCTCGCTGTTGGTGGCCCTGTAGGGCTCTCTGCTGCCTCAGGCCTGTGACTGCACTTCCCTGGCTCGGTCTCAGTGAGGGTTTCTAGTGCTGTGATAAAAGCACCATGAGCAAAAGCATGAGGAAAGGGTTTCTTTGTCTACACATCCGCATCACAGTCTGTCATCAAAGGAAGGGCCGGGCAGGAGCTGCTGCAGAGGCCTTGAGACACCTCACCTGGCTGATGCACGGTGTAGCATCTGTGTTCCCATGTTGCTGTTGTGCAAGCACGAGCCACGCGGTTGGTCTCTTCGTTTTACTAAAACCAAAGCATGGGAAAAATAACCCGCACCCGGTGGAATGCTTCTCCTGCTGTTGTCCAGTGAAGGGAGGGTGAGCCAGGAATCCACCTCCGTTTAACGTTTAACGTCGGAGACTTGGAACCTTCCTGTGGTTTTACTGTCTAAAACATCCCCCTGTGGTAAGTGGACGCTCACTCAGTGAGTGGAGTGCCCCTTGCTGACTGCTTCTCCTAGCTTCCTTCATGTGGCCGTCTTACGATGCACCATGTCATTCTGCCCATTTGACAGAGGAGAGAATCAAGGCTCACACACTAGACTGATCATTTGCCGAAAGTCCCTCAGCTAGGATTTGAGCTCTCCTTATCTGATTCTCCCGAAAATTTGTGGCTGGTCTCAGGACTAAAGTCTGCCACAGAAGCCACAGGCCCTCACCTGTCTGTGTGGAAGGTGCCCTGGCCAGGCTGTAGACTCAGGAAGGGTGTAGAGGGGAGGAGCTGTTATGTGCCACTCTAGTTTTGTGGCAGACTTCTGCTCCCCCCTCCCCAGGTCATCTACCTGCGCCGGTTCAAATGCCTACGAACACTCAGCCTCTCTGGGAACCCCATTGCTGAGGCAGAGGAGTACAAGATGTTCATCTATGCCTATCTTCCTGACCTCGTGTACCTGGACTTCCGGCACATTGATGAGCAGGCAGTAAGTGTCCTGGCCCTGTTCCCAGTTCTGCTATACAGTCTTTAGGGCCCAAGGTTTCGAGAGACAGTGAGGCTGTCTCCCCATCTGTGGTTAAGAGAAGATGGTTCCTGGCTGAGGCCTCTCCACACCTCTACACAGCCATTCCAGAGTGGCTTCCTGCAGTCCCAGGCCCCTTCTACACGAGGGCTACCAGGGAGCTCCTGTCTGTTTCCCAAGTGAAGACTTCAAGGAGAGTCAAGGAAGGTGAACAGTAAATTGTCGTGATCCTGAGCTGGTGGCAGGGCCAGACTTCCCCCAAGCCTGAGCCTGGGAGCCGTTCCACAGCGACCCCCTGAGTGTTGTCACCCCAGGCCGTGAAGGCCCTGCTCTCGTCCCATCATTCTGGAAGCACATGGAAACTAGCACCCAAGGGAAACGATTCATGCACAGTCTCCCAGTCAGTTAGGGTTCACCTAGGAGTTGGCTCCAGGAAGTTGTTCTTTCAGCCCCGTGCTCTGTGTGTGTGTGTGTGTGTGTGTGTGTGTGTGTGTGTGTGTGTGTGCGCGCTTGTGAGGCCTTTAGTAGCAAGACCATGAAGTTTCTCTATGTCAGGTGCTAGGGAAGAAGAGACAGGAGGATCCTAGAACTCAGCCTGTCTAGCCCACTTGACAAGCTCCATGCCAGGGAGAGAGCCCATCTCAAAAACAAGATGGATGGCTCTTGAGTAACAAAACTTGATGTTGTCCTCTGGCCCCCATACACACACATAAACTCACATGTACACCCACCCACCCCCAACACACACACTAGACAAAAATACATTTGCATACTAATGAGATGTAGGTGGCGGTTTCTTTTTACATAAAAAATAAATCTTGGTGAATCTAGAGAGCTGGCTCAGCAGTTAAAGGACTGCTCTTCCAAAGGACCCAGGTTTGTTTTCCCTACATGGTAGCTGACAACCCTCTGTAACTCCAGTTCCAGGAGATCCAACATCCTCTTCTGGCCTCCACACCACTGCATGCATGTGGTTCACAGACATACATGTTGACAAAGCATCTGTGTACGTAAAATAAGTAAATCTCAAAAAAAATCTTTAATTAAATATCATGGGGAGGAGGAGGCTGGAGAGATGGCTCAGTGGTTAAGAGCACTGGCTGCTCTTGCAGAGGACCTGGGTTCAGGTCCCACCACACATATGGTGGCTCATAGCAAATCTGTAACTGGATCCCCTCCAGTTCTAGGAGATCAGACATCCTCTTCTGACCTCCACAAGCACCAAGTATATATACAGTACACATTCATACATATGGTGCACATGCAGGCAAAACATTCATATACACAATAAATGAAATCTAAAAAAAAAAATGAAGGTCAGGTGGTGCAGCACATGCCTTTAATCCCAGAACTCAGGATGCAAAGGCAGGCAGATTTCTGTGAGTTTGAGGCCAGCCTGGTCTGTCTAGTGAGTACCAAGCCAGCCATAACTACACAGAGCCTGTCTTAAACATTAAATCTTTACTAGATATATAAACTGCAAGATGCAGAGACTCTTCAACAGTTTTAAGAGTTGATCCATATTTTGATTTTCTAGTTCTCAAGGGTAAGAACTGCTTTGCATAAACACACAGAACAAAATGGCAGAATTCTGCTTACGGTCATTTCAGAAAGGATTGAGGGGTCAGCAAATGGTTCAGCGGGTTAAAGGTGCTTGCTGTGTAAGCCTGGAAACTCGGGTTCAAGCCCCAGAACCCACATAAGGCTGAAGAGAGAGAAACAACTCCAAAAGGTTGTCCCCTGACCTACATTTGCCCCTTGGCACATGGTCCCCCCCCATACACATCAAACATATGCAATAATATTAACATCTTAAAAGAAAACTTTGAGAATTCTGTCCTAATCCCAAGTCAAAATTCATTTAGTGAAACTTGTCAGCAACTCAAACAGCATTTTTTAAAACCAAACATTCTAACATAATACAATTAAAAAGTATAATAATGATACTTACAAACCAAAGAATGATGGTCATTATTTTCTGCAGTTAAACAAGTATGTTTCTGTAACATCAGGAAACTTTACACAGAAAACAACACCATCTCAAATCTGGGGTGCAGGTCGGGTCAGGAAGCATGATAGATAATATCCATGTACACATAGGGTGTGCATGGTTTCTACTCAGAACCAAGACTACAGTGCAGTCATATAATTCGTCATGGTTAAGCAAGGCCAGAAATATCTGGGGTCCATTATACACTTGATTTTAAATTAAATTTTGGTCATTGTATTTTCAGGAAACTTTTATTGTTGCCAGGTGTGTGTGTGTGTGTGTGTGTGTGTGTGTGTGTGTGTGTGTGTGACCTCCACATTCAGTTACTCCATCCAGTATGGGATAGCAACCCTCAACTTAAGAAGCCGAGATTTAGGTGTTAATTTGAAATGTGTCATGGGTTCAAAAGCTTGAGTGTATGATGCCCTTTAAAAAACACAGGACAGGGGCTAAGTAAGGGTGTAGTTCTGAAGTCTAGCACTCACCCTAGCATGAGGTCTTGCGTTATATTTCCAGCACTGAAAAAGGTCACAGGTCAGCCCTGCATCTGCAGTACTGTGCTCAGGCGTGGTCTCGTGGATATCAGAAGTTCCCATCAAGGGCAGCAGCACACGTGGCCCGCATGGCCTTCCATGATTCAAAAAAATAATGAGTAAAAGTTCATAAAAGCAGAACTCTGTCAAGCAGGTGGTGGGACTCCCCTCCAACCATGATGCCTGATTTCAAACTGGTGCTGTAGAATTCAGGAAGAGGCCAGGGGCACGTCAGGCTGCTTCAGGACAGGCTCTTGGGGCACCTTCAGTTCTGGGATTCCCCTAGGCATTCTCATCTCCAAGGCTTCATGCCTTTCCCAGCTTTTACGAAAGATACCCTCCAACACACTGGCTGTGCTCACAAGGCCCGAGGGTGTGAGGCTGGAGGGACCAGACATCCTTTGGTAACAATGCCATTCCCGTCCCTGCACCAGAAAGAGATGGCGAAGCTGAAGCATCAGTACAGCATTGATGAGCTGAAGCACCGGGAGGCACTGATGCAGGCCCGGCTGGAGGATGAGCAGGCCCGGCGGGAAAAGCTGGCGGAGCACAAGGTACCACACAGAGCTGCCCTGGACACAGAAGTACCATGACAGTGCCAGTCACATTAAACAAAGATCCACAGGGGTCCTCAGACTCCCAAAACTTGTAAAGCGTACCACGGTCACCAAACCTGACACCTACTCTCTGCCTATCACCATGTCCGGTCCCCATCCCCACCCCCACCCCCAAGCCCAAAGACATGGTCCTAAAAAACACTTGGTCCTAGTGACTCCTTTACTGAAGACCCTCGAGCTGGTTCCCATCCCATGCAGTTACAGTTTGGTCTTCAGCTCTGTGGTCCCGAATCTGTGGCTATGACCTGCTGGCTTCCCTATGACCAGCCTCAGCTCCCTGTGAACCTAGGCAGAGCGGTAGGCCACTTCTTGGAAAACAGCCTGCAGCTCTGTCTTCTGCATCTCTACACATATCCTCCCTGGGCCTGCAACAGCACCACACACTTGCCTTCCTGGGAGGGAGGGCTGCAGCTCAGATGCATGGTCCCCCCTCAGGAATCCTTGGCTGCCTCAACCCTCATAAGAGCCTGGCTCTGGGGTCACCATGTCTGGGTATTTTGATCCACAGTTGGCGTTCATTGATCACTTGGATGGCTCCTTCCTGTTTGACAGCATGTATTCCGAGGATGTGGAGGGCAACAAGCTCTCCTACCTGCCCGGTGTTGGTGAGCTCCTTGAGGCATATCCTTTCTGGGTCACTGCTGCCTCGCCAGCTTGCCTTGGGCAAGTTCATTTTACTCTGTACCTCAGTTTCCCCATCATTCATGTGAGACCCTGGTAGTTAAATCTCTGCTGGCTACATGTATGCCAAAGGCCATTCCAGCCAGACCAGTTGACCTTTGTGGGGCAGCGCTGTCCAGACTTCTGCAGGCACATTGAGTGACAGCTTCTGGCTGGGTCTGCCATGCCTGGCGAGCTGCGTTTTCTGAGATAGGAGTAGGGAATGTGTTTCTACATCAAGGATCTCCACCGGCTACATCACTGCTCTTGATCCACACCCCCTTAAGCATCCCACCAGGTGGCTGCCATTAGTAACCGCAGAGGTTAAGTAGTTTGTACAGGATCACTCTGTGGGGCCAAAGAGCTTGCATTTGTCCCCTAGCTGGTCAGAGCCCAAGGATGTAGTCAGCACTTGTCACAGATAGTGGCAGTGATCATGAGAGCCAAACCATGGGCTTCAGTGGTAAGTGGGAGATGGAGGGGACTTCCGGGATATGAGGCATTGTGGAGCTGAGGGCTTCTAGTTGAGACAGCCAGTCCAGGTAGGTCTGTGGGGCCACCAACACTGGTATCAGCCGCCAGGAAAACTACAGAGACAAATCTCTAAGACAGGAAGTGTTATTTGGGAATAAAATCTGAAACTAGAATTGCAGTTTGGGAAAGGTCAGGATTCCCCAGGCCTGCAAAGTGACTGCATTGTGCAGTTTCATGGTGCCAGCAGCAGTCATGGGGTACAGCTGGTTCTTTTCCTAGGCTGGGCATGTGAGAGTATGTAGCTGGCTGACCCTGTGATGACTCCTATGTGAGAACCTCCATCCATGGCCTCCCAGCTCCTCTGGCCAGCTTTGGTGAGCACCTAAAGGCAGAGCCTAGGGCTGGAGAGATGGCTCAGAGGTTAAGAGCACTGACTGCTCTTCCAGAGGTCCTGAGTTCAATTCCCAGCAACCACATGGTGGCTCACAACCACCTATAATGAGATCTGGTGCCCTCTTCTGGCCTGCAGTCATATATGCTGTATACATAATAAATAAATAAATAAATAAATAAATAAATAAATAAATATATAAATAAATAAATAAATAATAAATAAATAAATAATAAATAATAAATAAATAAATAAATAAATAAATAAATAAATAAATAAATCTTTTAAAAAAATAAAAAATAAATAAATAAAGGCAGAGCCTAGACATTGGTGGCCGCACGGAACCTGACAACTTTCTCAGTCCAGCCCTCTTCCTCAGAGACCCATGCTCTCAGCTTAAGCACTGTGAAGCTGTGAGGTTTTGGAGAGGCATCTGATCACCTGAACACATCCCCACAGCATCCCCAGGACCCTCTGGGTTTGCCTGCCCGAGCCCCAGGACTCTTTTTTGTTTGTTTATTTGTTTTGTGACAAGGTCTCGCTTTTGTAGCCCTTGCTGGCTTAGAACTCACTCACAGAGATCTCCTGCCTCTGCTCCTCACCTCTAAATTCTGGGATTACAGGTGTGTGCCATCATGCTCAGCCTTCAAAGGACTCTTTGTGGTGGCTTCCTCAATGCCCTTAGCTGAGGTAAGGACACTGAGGCCCAGAGAGGTAGCTTGCTGGGATGGATCTCAGAAGCAGCATTGGAGCCATGACTTGAACCTAGGCCACCTAGTTCCTCTGAGCTCAGATGAGCTACAGGACAGGCCCCTCCCAGAAGATTTCTTTTAGAGATTTTAATTTAACCAGATATTTAAAAAAAAAAAAAAAAAAAAGGCTTCAACTCATTCTCCTGGCCAGGTGCTTCTAGCTCTCGCCTGGACCCCCAGTCCTCTGGAATTCTCTTCTAGAGCCTTTAGCTGTGCTCCCGAGTTCCTTGGGTGCAGGTAGAGATAGATAACTACTACCACGTTAGGCTCCAAACGGCAAGCCCCAGCTCCCTGGCTCCTCTGTCCCTCCTTCTGTCAAAAGGACCACCTGTAGCCTCCACAGTGTTCAGCATGGCATGCTCTGCAAGGAATTGTCAACATTTTTGTCCCAGTCCCGGTAGCCTGCTCCTGAGCCCCACGCTTCCTTAACCGCCACTTACCTACAAGGACAAATTTGTCATCATCTGCCTGAACATTTTCGAGTACGGCCTGAAGCAGCAGGAGAAGCGGAAGCTGGAGTTAGACACTTTCAATGAGTGCGTACAGGAGGCCATCCAGGAGAACCAGGACCAGGGCAAGCTCAAGGTTGCCAAGTTTGAGGAAAGGCATCTGCTGGTAAGTCCCCTTCTCCTGTGCCAGGCTGCCAGGACTCCCTCGATGTGGAGGGTCTGCAATGTCCGTGCCCTCTGCGGGTCCCTGAGGCCCCAAGTCTCTGTTCACCTGCCAGGGATCACAATTTCACCAAACGGCACCACACGCGCACACACACACACACACACACACACACACACACACACACACACACGCACACGCACACGCACACACACGCACACACAGCTCCACTGAGCCAGCACAGAGCCTTGGGCCAAAGGCATTCTTACCTGAGTGAGCAGAGTGGAAGGGGTCGTCTTAGAGCTCTGAAAGGCTCTCTTCCAGAGAAGGGCCAGGGAACTTGGGAGGTTCCTGGGGCCCCTCTGCCAGCCTCAGTGCCTTGGGGTTTTTAGTGGCATGCGTGCTGCTCGGCACCCACCGAGTCCCTTCCATCCACAGCCTGACTGCTCCTCACAAGCCCCTCATTTTAGCCTCGCCTTGCTTTTGCTTGTCTGGTTTACAGCCATTCTGCCATTGTCTCTTTCCCTCGCCTCTGTGTTTTAAAGGATGACTTTATCACGGCTCTTTATAGGTTGAGTTAGCAGCCCTGGGTCTTGGAAGTCACTTCAGAGTATTTTTCTCAGCTCACTCTTTATCTTGACATTTGTACGTGGTACTTTTGTCATGTGGAGTGTTTGTGGAAGTCAGGCAGTCTGCTGCTAAGCATATTATATCCCTAGCATATCATTTTTTGTTATTATTATTACATTTTATTATTATTATTACATTTTTTTTTTTTTGGTTTTTTGAAATGGTTTCTCTGTATAGCTTTTGCCTGTCCCAGAACTCACTCTGTAGATGAAACTGGCCTTGAACTCACAGAGCTCCGCCTGCCTCTGCTGCCCGAGTGCTGGGATTAAAGGCACCACTGCTCGGCATGAATTTTTAATAGAATAGAATTTATCCATCTTCCTTCTGGTTGTTCTTGGAAAGTATTTCTCCATTGTGAGAGTCCCCATAAAAATCTTTCTTGAGCTAGGGGGTGGTGGCGCATGCCCTTAATCCCAGTACTTGGGAAGCAGAGGCAAGAGGATCTCTGTGAGTTCGAGGCCAGCCTGGGCTACAGAGTTCCAGGAAAGGTACAAAGCTACACAGAGAAACCCTGTCTTGAAAAAAACAAACAAACAAACAAACAAAACCAATGCCGTTCCTCCTTCCTGCCTCAGGGCTCATACTGTTAGTCACAACCTAAGGTCGCATTGCACTGGTGCTGGTCTTGTTACTGGGACCTTTGCTGATGAACAGGTTGCTTATCAGCTCACGAGACTGTCTCGTTCTCTCTATTTTCCGTGGACTTCCACTTGCTTCCTGGGGCTCTAAGGAAGTCTGTCTGGTTCACTCAAAGATTAGAACTGGTTTTGCTATGGCCTGGGTATCCCTTCATCCCTAACGCATCAATATTGAGACGTGGTACCTTTAGGAAGTGACTGGGGATGTTGGGCGAGGGACGGCTCATGAGGTAAAGGCATTTGCTGCACAAGGCAGGAGACCTCAGTTCAATTCCTGGAAAAAGAGAGGACCAGCTCCACAAAGTTGTCCTCTGAACCCCACGTGCATACACACCCAATAACTTCTGTTTCTTTTAAAAGAAATGAATTGGTTGATAGGAAGGACCAATGCTTTTCCCTGTGTGGGCTTGGGTTGCTGACGTCTTAGAGGTGGGGGCTATAAAGCCAGCCCTCTCCTGTGCATCTTCTCTTCCCACATGACCCCTCTGTACCCCTGTCACCAGACACTGGAGCATGTACTCCAATGTCATGCCACCCACCATGTTGTGATGCAGCTAAGAGGCCCTCCAGAGAGTCCAAAGAGATGAGGCTAACCAGCCTTGTACTTTTAACCTCCCACACTGTGCTAGGTAGACTGATTTTTTTTTTTAGGTGTCTGGGGACCAACCCACAACCTTACCACTCAGGCAAATACTCTTCTGTGGAGCCAAATCCCCGGCCTGCAAATTTTATTTCCTAAGTTTACCTGTATATGAGTATACTACATAAATAGTGCATGCCTGTGGACCTAGCACTTGGGAGGTAGATGCAAGAGGGTCAGAGTTGAAGGTCATCGTCAACTACAAAGCAAGTTCAAGGCCAGTCTTGAATACATGAGACCCTATCTCAAAAGAAATAAACAACAACAACAAAAAAAAGAAGGGTTAAAAGCTTACTGTTTGATTAATCATCACTTTATGGTGGTGATAAGTTCTGAGAAATCTGTCATTATGTGGCTGTCCCTGTGGGAACACCAAGCTGTTAGGAGGTAGTTAGAACTTTGTAGCATCATCGTCTTAGGGAGCCTCCGTCATACATGCAGTGTATCACTGACTGAGACAGTATTGTGTGGTACATGACTGGACTGAACTAGACAACTCCAATTAAACTGTGAGAACAGGCTGAGGATAGTAGAGATGTGATTAGCTGGTAAGGTTTACTTTACTTTATTTATTTCTTTACTTTTTTGTTTGTTTGTTTGTTTTGAGACAGGGTTTCTCTGTGTAATCCTGGCTGTCCTGGAACTCACTCTGTAGACCAGGCTGACCTCAAACTCAGCCTCCCGAGTGCTGGGATTAAAGGCGTGCACCACTATGCCTGGTTGTTGTTTCTTTCTGAGCTTTTTGTTTGTTTTCATTGGTTTGGTTTCTGGGTTTGGGTTTTGGATTTTTGATACAAGGCCTCATCCCACATCCGCTGGGATTGCACACAGGTGCCACTATGCCTGGGATGAGTTCATTTCTTTAATTATTTATTTCTATTTTATGTGTGTGGGTGTTTTGCCTACATATATGTCTGTGCATTATTTACATGCCTGATGCCCATGGAGGCCAGAAGAGGGACCAGAGCCTCAGGAACAGGAGTTATAGACAGTTGTGAGCTGCCATATGGGTGCTGGGAATTGAACCCGGGTCCTCTAGAAAAACAGCCAGGCCTCTTAACCACTTGAGCCATCTCTCCAGCCCTATGAGTTAGTTTTTTTTTTTTTGTTTGTTTGTTTGTTTGTTTTTTAAGATTTATTTATTTAGTATGTATAGTGTTCTGTCTGCACGTATGCCTGCAGGCCAGAAGAGGGCACCAGATCTCATTACAGATGGTTGTGAGCCACCGTGTGGTTGCTGGGAATTGAACTCAGGACCTTTGGAAGAACAGCCAGTGCTCTTAACCGCTGAGCCATCTCTCCAGCCCATGAGTTAGTTTTAAAAGCTTGATTTGCACAGATTTTCCTCAGCTGTGGCTCCCATCTCTGACGATGAGAATGTCTCCCCTCCTCCTGGCACAGGCAAAGAACCTTGCCCATGGGAATTTCATCTTCTACTTTCAAGGAGATACGGGTAGGTCTGAATGCTCTTTTTCCACCTGTCATTTGCAGGTACCTTTACATATAATATGCCAGAGCAGCAGGTAGCATCTCCAAAGGTCACAGAACTAGCAAGTTGTGAGCTAATGCTTGAACTTGGGCACTTCAAACCCAGACTCACAGTTTTTAACCCATAAAACAAAATTGTCACTTCCTACTGAGTAACACGTTTAACTACTGAATCCTGAAACATGGTTTTTGTTTGTAGAACTTAAATACCATCCGAGAAGAGAGTGATCTGCCCACCATCGAGAAGAAGCTACTAGAATGCAGTGATGACATCAATGAGCTGTTTAACATGCTCATGACACTGGAGATGCAGCTGGTGGAGCAGCTGGAGGTACAGCCAGACTATACACATCCATACATTCCCCAGCATGCAGCTGGTGGAGCAGCTGGAGGTACAGCCAGACTGCACACATCCATACATCCCCCAGCATGCAGCTGGTGGAGCAGCTGGAGGT